TACCCCGTTCCTAAGTCCATCTAGCGGGCGTTTTTTGACCGGTGAACTGCCTCTCACCGTGTTTATTTGCTGGAGTGGCCTCTCCAGGGGCGGATGTGGATAGAGGAAGGAAGCCAGGTGCCAAAGCAGCTGGCTTTGTGAGACTGAGCTTTTTCTGGTCTCTACCCGTTGACCTTTCAGGCATGATTGGATCTACGACTGAGAAGCCATCCTGTGTAGCTCGCAGGGGCATTGAGGCACGCAAGCCATCACACCACGTCAAGATGCAGTCTCGTCGTGATGGAAAAATGGAGTACAGACCGAATTCGCAAGCTCCGTCGACCGAATTCCGTGATAACAACGGCAGAGAAGGGAGAATGAAGCGAACGCATAGCGATGAGTAAGTGGTTGAAGACGTTATAACAGCAACAATCAAAACGGTTTAAAGCTGAACACGGTCCAAAAGTTCCAAAGCATAAGGAGCCATGCTCTAGTCATGGCTATATTAAGTAACAGCAGGAGTATTGGAATATTGTTGAACGTGAGAAGGGAAGAAATCTGCTTCTTATGGCAAAGGTAGGGAATCATCCTGGACGCACGCGATGAAATTTCAACAATATGAAAAATCAAGGTATGGGAAAAAATATTATAAGCTAAGTAGAACTGTAGACGACGTGGAATTAAGGGAGTCTAAATGCATGAGAGCGAAGGAATTACCTTTACACAGTAAGTTGTAGACGCGATTTCGGCGCTGTTAAGATGGACTCGATTCTAGTGATCCATGCAACACTGAAGTTTGAATTTAGTGACGTACAAGTAGATAATCGACCTCGAGCTTCCAGAAATCACAGGAGACAAATGAACGTGATCCGATGATTGAAGAAAAGATGCAGATGGCTCCGAGAAAAGAGAGGGCCTAAAAGGTATCAACACTTCGTGTTCATACAACACACACTGTGTCGGATGAGCAGTAGACGAGATGAACCCCATAGTTGCGAAGGCCACGTGCTCAGTGATGGAAACCAGAAACCCTGGTTTAAGGACTTGAAGTGATGAGCCGGATAAGGTCCCGCTAGGTTAGGCGTGATACTGAACCGGACAATAAGAAAGCTGCCGGGCGGAGGGTTTAAAATCTAGGACCATAGGGTACAGAGCACGCCGGTGGGGTACATTAGTGGGAAGGGTGACCAATTATGATAGACTGTTTACAATAAGCGCTTTCACCTCATGGTTTGTGGTCATTGCGGGGTGTGCATACCGATTGCTGTAAATAACGATAAATTACAGAGGATGATGTTCTGTGGATGGGACTCCGATGAAACATGACAAATCAGAACTATTAAGAGAACCATATATAGCGCATGTGATCACGAATCCTCAGTTAAAAAAGCTGAAATTCGTGATTAGAAACATCAAGATACAGATTGGGGCGGATGGTAAAAAAAACACTAGTTGTGAATCGGAAAGATGGAAAAAGTGTATGGTGAATAGGCAGAGGTAAGAGCTCTTCTAGGAAGGAAAGGTAAAACCAAATAAGTGGTGAACATAATTTATATTGCGAGCATACTGCGGATGGTGTAGGCAGTCTGAGAGCGCGTGCAGGTGAAACATCTTTAATGGCAAATGACAAAAGCAGACACTATAAACAGTAAAAACAGTGTAACGACTTCGGGGGTGCCAAAATCTGAATTATTATCATGGAAAGAGAAACAACCAACGCTCCAGCTCAACGACTCGATATTGCTCACAACTCGGTCACCCCACATATGCACTGTTTCTACCCCTCCTAATTGACTTTTTGACAAATTGTGATGTATTAACCTGTAGATAAATCACCGCAAACGAGTATGTTCTCTATTGTGTTCCAAGATTTTTCTTAAGCGAATAATAAAAGGCGATTATTCTTAAAAACATATCATGAAGTCCACTCGTAATGTATTGAATCCTAAATGACATTATCATCCCCTCGATGAATGATCAATAATTATAGTTACAAACATCAACACTAAGAGGGTAATAAGAAGTAGTACGCTGCCAGGAAATGTGGACAATTTGTTAGACGTTACACGAAGTTGAATTCTGCAATGAAACAACGACAGCGGCAAGTGCACAACTGAAACGATTGCTTGCCTATCGCCTTCGGTTTGTGAAGCGCTGTTTGAATTATAACTGGGAATATTGCATCACTCAACACCCAATGCTGGACCTCGATCACATTTGACAACGTAGTGTCGTAGAGGTTGGAGAGAATACGAAAATTTTCATGAGAGACGTAAGAAGCCACTAACTACACTTGCTTGAGATAACAACGAGACCGTAAATAAAGTGAAAGAGCGAAGTTTCGTCGCGACGGTGAATCCCCGGTGCCCGTGAGCGAATATACGATCGACTTAAAACTGTCAAGGAAACATGGGTAATGTTATCAGAACTACACTGTTATTCCATATCATTGAAAACACCAAACATATCATACGTAATTCTCGATACGATTTTCCATCCCATTCATAAATAGCTGTTTTACAAACTGACAAATTTGTCGTCGCCGTGTGCGCAGTGCCTCAGTTTACCAATCTTCGGGTATGCTATCAGTCGAATTATGGCAGTGGTGCGCTAATGGTGAAAATCACTTATCCATGTGCTGGTGCCTGAGGTTAGTTGCCTCGGTCTTTCAGTTACTCAATGAGCTACGCAATGAGATGAAAAACATTTTATCACTGGCCGAGACTTCTTAATGCTGCTATCTGAAACTCGACAACACCATTGGACAAGACAACCCATATCATCCACTAAACCAAACCGGGACACTCCGTTCATGGCTATCCGTCACAAAAATCAGCATTATTTTGTGACCACTAAACGATGTTTACTCGACAGCGAATATATTTGTCAGATTAAAACACCATGTACGAAATAGTGTTCACAGTAAACAATAAAATATTCTCGTAATCTCAATCAAGAGAAAATTTGGATAAAGGCATGTAGAGTGATACTGTTTGTTGGTCAACAGATCATGTCAAACTGAACTAGCTGTGGATGTGCCGGATGATTTCGAAAGTTGAGCCAGTCTCCGACGTGTTGAACGGTTGTGACCGACGATTAGTTTTTTTTCTTCCTCCTCTGTCGGATTGTGGGGTTCGTCATCAGAAATATCCAAATCCCAAAATCCCTTTGGAGTAGATGGGGGAGGGCCGTGAAGAGTGCGGTGTCTAGAACAACGGTGGATACGCATCGCGATTTCTGGACTGGTCAGACCACATGATTGATAGTACTGTAGGAAAGGATCAATTAAAATGTAACGAAATAATTCATTAATTCGAAAATTTAGGTGAGCATCACATACAACCTATTCAGGTTTACAGAGTCTAACGTTCCAGGTGGTGTCCGCAGTATCATTAAGAAGTACAATTTTAGACTCAGATGCACACACAGAAGCTACATAAACACTACAAAATCAACAGGAAGCCAAGCAACTTACGAGACTGCACTTGTTTTCTTTCTTATATCGATGGAGATGGAGGAATAACAAGTTATAATTAAGATGCGTCAAACGAGTGCTAAATTCCTTGTCATTTCAGTTATGATCCAAAAAAGAACAGTGGATGTGGACTCAATAGGTTTTGCTTCGAATGAAACCGGAAAGAGGAGCTTCCATATTCACATCTACCAAGAACACGAAAACCAGGATAACCATATCCAGCACGGCACCTCATGACGAACTGAGGAAACGATGCATTCCAAATCTGCCTTGAACCTACTACTCATAGAACGATATGATTAACAAGGAGACACGTATATACGGGTACCTCTTGACAACTCTTGCAGGCATGCGCAGGCATCTCACGTCGAACAGATTTTCTTCGCTCCACAGGACCCACGTACTTCA